AAAAAACGATTTTGAACAAAGAAATAAAAGCATTTCCACAAACCTTTGCGATGTTATTCATCAGCAAATCTATGTCTTGGATGGAGAAATCTCAAAAACACGAACGTTATTCTGTCGATGGTCCGAACAATGGCGGGTGTGCCCTACTTATTAGTCAACACCAAGTTTTACCAAATTGCATCCGTTAATTCCAGAATACTTTTGAAAGACTTGTATTGTAATCTTGTTTTTTATTATTTATATAATAATATTTTTGTTTCAAACGCTTTGATTCTAAGCTATGATAGTTTGCGAACCATTTTTTGCGAAAATAGTACAGTACAGAACGCGGGTTGTAATAAAATGCGAAATGGACTCCATTTCGCGAAATGAACTTACCGCCTACGAAATGGACATTTGTTTGTTTAACCATAATGAGTAATATTATTTTTATTAATTTATGTTTAACATATGACATAAAACTACAGATTGAACCAATTAATATTTTGTCCCAGGTTAAACATATGATATAAAACAGAATCTTTATATTTGAAAGACCATGTATAATACACTGAACTATGTGGTATTATTATACGATTGTATTCTTAAATAATGAAAAAAAATATTACCAAAATTATTCAAATAGTAATTTTATGTCATATATCACTTGTTTGTTATTAAAAATGATATTAAAAAGTACACTTAAACCAAAATTTAAGAAACAAATGTCCATTTCGTAGTCGAAAAGTTCATTTCGCGAAATGGAGTCCATTTCGCATTCTATTACTACCGCCTTTTTAAGGCCACATAGTTATTGAGTTATCGACGTAAAAAATCAGCGGTGGCATAAAATGCTATTCAATAAATTGCTAAATATATACAATAAATACTTTCATTTCCCTTCGGTTGACTTATATATGTGAACTTTTCAGCATCTCTGCTACAAAATTACACCTTATTTATATTCAATTTATTGTACATAGGTACATGGACACAAACTTTTCTTTGGCCTAATGCGTAATAATACTGATGTTTTTTTACCGTACACGTTTAAGATTATGTTCCATTGATGTAAGCTAACATTGAATATCATCATTTCAAGTTTTTTTGAACATCAGCTTTTTCTTCAAGTCATCCACGTTTGAAAGTATACATATAGTTCTGCTGCACTACTTTCTTGGTCGCATTAACTACTTATTTTCTATTGAGCTTAAACAGAATTCAATTAGGTGTTGTTCGTTCTTTTTCAATATAGGCAGACCGATACTATAGAAAGGAAATTTTTTTTTGAAAAAATTTCCTTCCAAAAATCAGCTGAAGATTTGTGTTTGAAATTAACATTAAAGATCAAATTAGGATATTTCCCCAGCAGCGCCTTCTAGTAGTTAAATGTTGTTTATTGTTTTTTTATTATTTACTGAATAAATATAATTTTATATATTTGTATATACTATTTACAATTATTATACCCCCAAAAACGAAGTTTGGGGGGGTATATAGGAGTCACTCGGTGGTCGGTCGGTCGGTCGGTCGGTCGGTCCAGACGTCCGTTGCATTTTCCTTGTCCGGAGCATAACTTGAAAACTAATAGTTGGAATTCAATATAACTACATACAATGGTCAAGCACATTGAGAGGAAGTGCAGTGCACAAGAACCATAACTCTATCTTGACTAATTACAGAGTTATTGCCCTTTGTTACTTTTCCTTGTCCGGGGCATAACTTGAAAACTACTGGTTGGAATTCAAAAACAACTTCATACAATTGTCAAACACAATAAGGGGAAGTGCAGTGCACAAGAACCATAACTCTATCTAAAGTAATTACAGAGTTATTGCCCTTTGTTGCTTTTCCATTGCTTTTTTTTTTGTCCGTTGCATTTTCCTTGTCCGGAGCATAACTTGAAGACTAATTGTTGGAATTCAATATAACTACATACAATGGTCAAGCACATTGAGAGGAAGTGCAGTGCGTAAGAAACATAACTCTATCTTGACTAATTATAGAGTTATTGCCCTTTGTTACTTTTCCTTGTCCGTTGCATAACTTGAAAACTACTTGTTGGAATTCAAAACAACTTCATACAATTGTCAAACACAATAAGGGGAAGTGCAGTGCACAAGAACCATAACTCTATCCAAAGTAATTACAGAGTTATTGCCCTTTGTTGCTTTTCCATTGCCTTCTTTTTTTGTCCGGACCATAACTTGAAGACTAATGGTTGGAATTCAATATAACGACATACAATGGTCAAGCACATTGAGAGGAAGTGCAGTGCATAAGAACCATAACTCTATCTAAAGTAATTACAGAGTTATTGCCCTTTATTACTTTTCCATTGCTTTCTTTTGTCCGGACCATAACTTCAAGACTAATTGTTGGAATTCATTATAACTTCATACAATGGTCCAGCACATTGAGAGGAAGTGCAGTGCACAAGAACCATAACTCCATCTTGATTTATTACAGAGTTACTGCCCTTTGTTTCTTTTCCTTGTCCAGAGCATAACTTTAAAACTACTGATTGGAATTCAAAACAACTTCATACAATGGTCAAGCACAATAAGGGGAAGTGCAGTGCACAAGAACCATAACTCCATCTTGACTAATTACAGAGTTATTGCCCTTTGTTTCTTTTCCATTGCTTTCTTTTGTCCGGACCATAACTTGAAGACTTATTGTTGGAATTCATTATAACTTCATACAATGGTCAAGCACATTGAGAGGAAGTGCTGTGCATATGAACCATAACTCCATCTTGACTTATTACAGAGTTACTGCCCTTTGTTACTTTTCCTTGTCCACAGCATGACTTGAAAACTACTGGTTGGAATTCAAAACAACTTCATACAATGGTCAAGCACAATAAGGGGAAGTGCAGTGCACAAGAACCATAACTCCATCTTGACTAATTACAGAGTTATTGCCCTTTGTTACTTTTCCTTGTCCAGAGCATAACTTGAAAACTGCTGTTTGGAATTCAGTACAACTTCATACAGTTGTCAAGGACATTAAAAGGAAGTGCAGTGCACAAGAGCCATAACTTCATTTTGACAAAATACAGAGTTACTGCCCTTTGATACTTTTCCTTGTCCGGAGCATAACTTAAAACGTACTGGTTGGAATTCAAAACAACTTCATACAATGGTCAAGCACAATAAGAGGAAGTGCAGTGCACAAGAACTATAACTCTATCTTCAGTATTTATAGACTTATTGCCCTTTGTTCTTTTTCTTTGTCTTTCTGGACTTATTACACAGTAATTCAATTAAACTTCATCAATGGCCAACCACATTCAAAGGAAATGCAACATATATGATCAACAATTATCTTTAATTGCCCACAACCATAACTCTATGTTTCAATTCTTTTACAAGGTAATTCTGTTACTAGTAACATCCTCATTTCCGAAGCAGACTTGTGGGGGTATTAATCACATTTAGTGATAGTTCTAGTTAAATTTAATGCATAGAAAGACTAAAACTGATGGTGATGTAGTCAAAATTATCTCTCAAATTCTATGAATTATGAAAAATTGAATAACATAAATTTTGAGCATGACTGTGATTGTAATGCTGATTCTTGATCCTTCTTGAATACTTGGTCAAATAAATACCACAACTTTGCTTAAATGATTTAATTTGTCTTGCACAGTAAATTGTCGTGGCACACATCATAGGTTGCCAAAGATCTTTTGTCTTGTATGACATTTATTTCAAAGGTATGGCATATTGGGTGTCCAAGGCTGAGTGGTGAAAGTTGTTGACTTCAAACCATTTGCCCCTCACCGCTGTGGGTTAAAATCCTGACAGGGACTTTGAATTCTTTCATGTGAGGAAGCTATCCAGCTAGCTTACTTATGTCGCTGGTTCTACTCAGGTGCCCATTCTGGCCTGATGTAATCCGTAATATATATATGTATAAAATGATCACAAACAAAATTTGTATATTTTTAGGCAAACAGATTTATTAATAGATTCCATGAAGAAAGAAGAACAAAATTAAGGTATGTACCACTACTTTTTTGTCAGTGATATAGTACACAGAAAAAGCATGCATGTTTAAGAAATACCTACTTGTATATGTCTTCCAACAAAAGTACTGCCATTTTCAGCTAAACAAATTCATACGTCCGGGTCAAATATTTCTATTCCTTACTTAGTATTGCTGGAGTCTTTACAACAACAATGGTTATTGACATTATATTCATACACTTATTCATAAGGAAAAACAAAAGCTGAATGAGAAAAGTACATGTATGGTTATTACAATTTACAGCATAGATCAAATTATGATATAATGTTTGTTTAATATGAAATATTATACAAATTGTAAGTGGAGTAAACTGTTTTCTACTTGTTGGATACAGGAGAAATGATAGCATGAAATGTTTATTATTATACACAAAACTTTTTCATGACAGATATGTAGGCATACATGTGACATCCCGGCGGGATTTAAAAAAATCCCGATATTTCAACACTGATCCCGATTCCCGATATTACAACTTGAATTCCCGATATTTAAAAAAAAATCAACATAAAAAAAAATCAAACACAGCACCTGTATCTAAAATGTAAACCGTGCCTCCGGGCATTGATTGTTATCTGTCCATATCCTAAATTATAGCGGATTAAATGTTGAGTCCCTAATTGACAGCAAGGTGACGTAATAAACAGTTCCAATACCCAAAGTTATTCTCACGTGTTTAACTTATCACGTGTCGTGTGTCAGTCAATTGACCTCTTTTTAGGTATTACACGCTACGTCATCAACACTACCCTGTAAATTTACAAGTATGAATTCGGCTCAACCTTTGATTTTCTTTGATTAGTGCCGCACTGATAAAGATAAAAGGTGAGCAGAATCATTTAAAGGGAATCATTCAAAACCTGTTTCAGATGTTTTTTTAACCTATTTTTAGTGAGTGGGTAATTTTTTGTTTTGTTTAGGAATTACACAATCATCGAGGCAAACAGGTGGATTTAATTAACGGAATGATTCTTGCATTTATTTTGAGTCTTCTACTTATGTTCTTCTACTTATGTTACGTTATTTAACTGTCATAGTCTTATGTTCATGAATAGTTGTTGCACATTTTCAAATAGCTTGTGTTTAATTATTGAAAGACTGAAAAGAAATATAATTCTTCAAACTGAAAATAATGAAATGTGAAAGTGTCACTGTTTTAGAAATAGCCTGTATGACTACACTTATTTATTTATCTATTTATTTATTTTTTTGGTGAAATAAATTAAAATTGATCAACAAAAAAATCATAAAAAGTATAATCATTAAAGGATATTGAGGGTAATATAGATTCTTTGAACCAAATGTGCCAAACACGCATTGAAATTCAAGTCGATAAAAAAATCCAGTTTTGAGCCTCAAAATCCAGCTGAAAATCCAGATTTGGCCCATTTCATTTGTCACATGTATGTGTAGGTAAAAGTATGATTTTGTACAATGTGAATTTAAAATGTCTTTGACACATGAAGTATGAAAACTGACATTTAAAACACTATGCAAATTTCAGACTTTAACACGACAGATAAAGTACAATGTATATCATTATATGAAAAAGAAAAAGTAAACGTTTGATCAAGAAATGAAATGACATGTAAAAAAGCATGAAATGATTTTGGCGATATTAAATTTCAAGGTAATGAAAATATGAAGTTGTATTAACAAATAACTTGCTGAAATCAACCTGGTTTTCCATAATAGTTTTCACTTTCACCTTTGATCTGCTGAAGTTGTGCAATAGAATTATCCTGCTTTGAATTTTGGAACAGTCCATTAGAAGTTTAAAGAATTTCAATTTTGAAATGACAGTATATCGCTTGTTCAGGCTACATAGACATGCACTCTGGCTTAAATCTATACTGATGGCAAAGTCTGATGATATTTGGTACAACTGGTTAAAAGTTAAAAGTATTGTCCATAGATTCTTGTTCACCCTTCCAAAGAGTGATATTCTAAACTGTTTCATTTTGAAAATTTTGGCTTGCATTGTGAAAAAGATAGAATCATGTGAAAGGTATCATGTTGTCTTGTCTCTATCTTGGGGTAAAAACTTAATGGCTTTTCGTATAATGCAGATTTTTTGTTCATGCTGTATAGATTTCCGCTTTTTTTTGCAGACTTTTTGTGTGCACTAAATCTACAATATTTTCTAGTGTTTTATTCATAGCTTTCAAAAACTATCATATTGTGGAGGAAAACCAGAAACTCAGAAATGATTCAGATTTGATCTTTTTCCATACTTTACACTACACTGGAGGTTTTAATTTTATGGTCCATTGATGACATGGAAATTTATCTCTCCAGTTATCTTCATTAATAATTCCAGTTATGTCTTATGAATATTATACACAGATGTCAAGTATCAAGGTCATTAGAGATATGACATTATTTTGACCTTTGGTAAATGCCAAAATATATACACTTTTTCTAAAAATTTTATTTATATTGTCTTATTTTTGCTTTATGTCTCACACGGGTATATTACTGGCATTAACTCTCTGTTGTGTTTTTGTTGTTAATTACGGTAGTAAAAAAACAAGCCATCATTTTACAGTGTGTAGAGGACGGCAAAATATGTCAGGAAAACACCAGCTATCTGAAAAATACAATGTTTTATTAATGCATATCATTATCCCTTTGTGAAAAAGGTATATAAAAACCCATGTCAAATGTTATGAAAACAGTAGTTCAAGATTTACATTACTTCCAATAACGTAGATTAAAATGAATGGCTTCAAATGTTATTGTGAAAATTTCTTTAGTTATATGCTTCAAGTTAAGGCTAAAGATTTATTATAAGTTAATTTAGGTCATGAGAAGAATTTATTGGGGTTCTACCAAGGTGGCATCTTGTGTCTGAAATATTGTATGGAGGGGCTACAAGGGGTGTTCTTACACTGTTAAAATATATCCTTAGCAGAAGCTTTGTCAAATTAAAGGAAAAATTCTACAATACTATATTAGAATTGAATGACAGAGTTGTACATTTTAAACCAGTTTATATATTCTAATGATAAAGGTACATTAAGTCATGTTATAAATAGGTCACCATAAACTTACTGTCAGTATGAATTCCTTTGTTATGATGAGTAGTCCACATGTTGAAAATCCAACTTGGGTACCAGTCAACTTTGACAGGAACAGGTTCAGCTGAAATGGGAACCAGTAAAATATATGTTCACTAAATTAAGTTTATACTGCAAGGCATAGATAAAACAATATTTAGGAATAAATATTATAAAGTATAGCTTAGTAAATAAGCTATATCTAGTTCATTCAGAGTAAGTCAGGATAATGATAATCAGTAATTAATAACCCTTGATTTCCTGTTTGCTTTGTAGGTGAAAGCTTAATATATACATACATATATATATTTATCTTTTCTATCTTACATTTAACTTACATATGCAGTCAAATCTTAGAATAATTACCATTGAATTAATATTTGTCACTTAATTGCCAGCATGTTAGTTTCTTTTTATGAATTTTGTACTTTGTCACTGCTAAAAGTTAAAATTCTTACTCTGGATTATTACTTGTGTGATAGCTACAATGTATTTGGATGGCTTAAAGGAAGTTGTTGTTGATGTGACTTAAACAGCCAACATCTAAGGCACCTCCCCCCACCTAAAAAAAGAGAGCAAAATTGCAGTCTGTCATCAAGTACCACATGATTTTCCTCGACTTGTCTGTTAAAACAGGTGTGTTGTTATGGAAACTGTGTATATTCATATATTTTACCTGTGCTAGTTTCTCCACAGTGATGTCCTGCACATTGATGTAGTAGATACTATCTAGTGGGGCATGGGCCTGAAATGAAGATCTTTAGTTATTGATTATACCATATAAGACAAGATAATGCCTGGAAAGAAAGTAACTTTAATTTTTCAGCCATACATTTAAACAGTTTACAAGCAAAGTGTAAGCTTAATATTAAACCCTTGGCTTGCTGGAATGAAATGTGAATAGCCTTTGAAACCAGTATAGAGCCAGGCAAGCCTGTACATAATTATGTGAAATCTGACCAGGTTCTATACTGTTGGCTGACTAACTTTCAAAATTAATAATGGACAGTTCCAAAATAGAAAATTGTACTAGCCCATTTAATAGATTCAGCAGGTTAATTTCAAACCATTGCCAATGTTAAATAAACTGTCATGCTTTTGATTTAGAACTAGAGATTTTCAAATGGAGTCAGAATGCCGCAATCAGCAATATAAAGTCTGCATAGGCTCACTCAGGCTAGATTTAATGTTTGTGATATATGGAAGTTATTATCCCACTTCCATTCAGAAAGTAGAATTGTTTAAAAATTGTAGGATTTTAATATCTTTGCTTGCTGTAAAAGTCTGATCAGAGTATGTTCAAAAGTGATTATCAATAAGATTTTTAAAGTTCATTAATTTTGTTTTGTAACAGTTTTGTTGTTTGGAAACCTTAGCCAATTAGTTATTAAATATAAGGTCTTTGACTTCATTGCACTTCCCTCTTTGCTGTGGGTTTGGATCCTGTCATGGGCTTTAAACTCTTTCATGTTAAGAAGCTATCTTGCTAGCTTACAGAATGTCTGTGGCTCTACTCAGGTAACTGCTTGTGTCTAAAATAATGCACAGTAAAGCTTGAAAGTAGCCTTATGACCATTACAGTGACAGTGTGATTTAAAACCTAACCACAGATTGTGATAATCAATCTACAACAATTGAAGATGAAACTATTGATTTATAAATTTGTTTGATTTAGTCACACATTTATATTATGGTAGGTGGTAGATATATTTATAGCGAATGTAATGAACATAATTATATCTATTGATTAATTGATTTTAAGTATTATGTTTATTGACCTGAATTAGAATATGAATTTACGTTCTTTTAAGCTGAAAATTAATTCAATGGATTCCAAAGGGAACATTCATGCTTTAAATAGTAACAAAAAAGTTTGAACGAGAATAAGAATTGTGTTATTTCTTTACAATTCTTTGATATGTTTGTAATATCGAATTCTATTGTATTATTCACAATGGAAAAAACTAGAATATCTTACGGCTTCATGAACAAGTGCAGCAAAGACTGACACAATAACAACGATTGCCATGCTTAGAAAGAGCCAGAATGTGTAAGCCATGATTGCTATCAGCCCTAAACTGCCATCATTTACATGTAACAACACATATAGAGTGAATAGACCAAGCGTAATGTTCCAGAAGCACAGATTTCCAAGCAAGTACTGGAAGTCCTTATCAAAGTCCTTGACAATTTTGCAGAGGTCCGTGTAGAATTCACGTATCTTCTGAATAGTTTGCGGCAGACGGCACGCATCTTGGCACATTTTCTTATGTAGATATTCGTTAAAGCCTCGAAAACAGCGTGTAAGCAAAGAGAATATGACCACCATGTAGAGTGCTGGTATATTTGCCTGGAAGCCGCAAGCTGCTATTAGTATCATTTGAAGGAAGCAAGTAAACGGCGTGTTCTCAAAAGGTGTCGTCATCATCGCAGTATTTCCACTACCTAGAATGCCAGTTAATTGTAAAGCACTGAACAATAGTAGTATAGTAATGAATCCTGCACCAGCACAACACAGAAAAATCTGCCTCTTTCTGAAACTGTCTCGGTCAAATTTTATCCCTAATTTTTCCATTTGCGGCCCAATAGTTGTGTTCCAAAAGCGAAAGGTGCGTTCTTGGTTTCCGAAAGAAGAATGGTTCATACGAAGTGTCAGGAGGAACATGAACAAGCAAGAAACATTCCATGTCAATACAATACCGTGTCCAAAGAAATCCTTATCAGATATGTAGAAAAAACCGGAAATTGTCTTTGCCGTGAAAGCAAGAATTGCCACAAGGATGAGAATCCGGTAGATGGTTATGAGAATGCCATATTTTTTACGCTTACACGGATTATAATTTCCACTAATTGTCATGGCTAAGAGAACATGTTTAAGACATGTTTTCTCTATGTTGAATGTAGTTTTTTCATTTTCAGCGTTATCTCCATTATTTTCAGCAGGAACAACTTTGTTCTCATAAAGATCATCCATAATATCAGGTGGTTGCACTTTTTCCATTTTTTTATCCTAGATAAAATGTTTGCAGTAGTCACTTTTTATGGTACATGTATTTACATTTTGTATGTGATAAATGCACTCATTTGTAGCTAGGACTAGGTTGTAAACAATCAATAATTTAATATCCTTTTTTCCGTAGAATAATTTTGAATCTGATTAGAACACTAGCATTTTCATAGCACTGCGCCAGCATTTACTATTAGAATTGCATCGTTACAACTTGCTTAAATGCATTGTTCTATAGATAGAAACATTCCTATAGTTATTTATGCTCCCCCTATGTTTAGAGCTTGAACAGTATCTATTTCTATTGAATGGAATCTGCATAATTTATCATTTTGTATAAACAAGTTTTTTTGTAGCATTCACTGATTAACTGATAGCATATCTGAAACTTTTCTACTTTTCACAATACATATGATTACAACTGAGCGTTTAATCACTCATCTGGGATCCATAAGTAAGAGACATTTCTATTGGTGTGATGTCCCTCCGGAAATGAATTGTATGAGAAGCTTTCGTGGCATGTGCCTGTAAGCTGTGTAAAATTTGTTGACCGATTCTAGAATAAATTGATTTTTTAAGTGCAGGTCTAGAATTGCTTTGTTTAGTTTAATTACTTGCCATTAAAAAATATTTGATTTGAGACTTGTTTTCAGACAACTGTGCCAGGTATTCCATTGTTTATTATCGATATGTCAACATATTTTGTCTATAAAACATTATAGTTTTAAAATCAAGTTTTTTATTGACAGACTAAATGGGTTTTTGGGTTTTCATAATGGTTCATTGGATGGCTGAAACAATGCAAGGTTCTTAAATATATGAGTCAGATATAAATCATATCACACTGATACTGAGTGAAATAAAGAATCTTGGGTCCATTTTTGGCCGGGTTGCACAGGTGCAAACCCGGGTTATAGTATGGTGAATATCAGGCGTTTGGTGGACGGGCGGGTAAATTTTTTTCGTAACATTACTATTTACAGCATCATGATACTTGGTATAGAAATGCAACCTGGCCTTTTCTGTCTTTGACCCATTTTTGTGTCGCCTCTACGGAGTAGTGGCGACATATAGGGATCACTTCTCCGTCGTCTGTCTGTCCGTCTGTCCGTCCGTCCGTCACAAAACTTGTCCGGACTACTCCTCATAAACTACTGGTGCAATTTCATCCAAACTTTACAGGAATGATCAGTATCAAGTCTAGTTGTGCATATTGTCAGGATTTTCCGGTTCAATGATTTTTGTCAGAGTTATGGCCCTTTAATAATTTTTAATTTTAAAGTTTGTCCGGACTACTTCTCTTATACCACTAATGCAATTTCAATGAAACTTTACAGGATTGACCTGTAGCTAAAGTCCTTGCGCATATTGCACGGGTTTTCCGGTTGAATGATTTTTGGCCGAGTTATGGCCCTTTGATAAAAAGGTTTCTTTTTCTGTGTGTTGCCAGATACACAAAAGCTTGTCCGGACTACTCCTCATAAACTACTGGTGCAATTTCATCCAAACTTTACAGGAATGATCAGTTCCAAGTCTAGTTGTGCATATTGTCAGCATTTTCCGGTTCAATGATTTTTGTTTGAGTTATGGCCCTTTAATAATTTTTATTTTTAAAGTTTGTCCAGACTACTTCTCTTATACCACTTATGCAATTTCAATGAAACTTTACAGGATTGATCTGTAGCTCAAGTCCTTGCGCATATTGCACGGGTTTTCCGGTTGAATGATTTTTGGCCGAGTTATGGCCCTTTGATAAAAAGGTGTTTTTTTCTGTGTGTTGCCAGATACGCAAAAGCTTGTCCGGACTACTCCTCATAAACTACTGGTGCAATTTTATCCAAATTTTACAGGAATGATCAGTACAAAGTGGTTAGTCTAGTTGTGCACTGTCCGTCTGTCTGTCCTTCTGTCACAAAATTTGTCCCAACATGAAATTGGCCATCATGAGGCGACACATGTGATTACTGATCGCTCTTGTTCTGTACAAAATCTGCTGTGGTCATATTATTATTTTAACAATAGTTTTGGTCCCAAATTCACTTTGCTTATATTAATCATGGTCATGTAAATACATAATTAAGTAAAGAAGGAGATGCTTGTTTTATTTTGAAAAGCAAAGTAAAGTGGAACACACAACATATAAAAAAATATCATGAGGTCATTTTTATTAGTGTTATTTGGCACCAATTTTAGCAAGTCCGTTTTAGAGAAAATGATGAGCTAATATAATCACTGTAGCATCATTTTCATTGGTCGTTGTGCAAAATTTTTATGTTGTCATCCAAATCATCACAGAATAAAACATACCAAGCCGAAGACTTGGACTATTTTAGGTCAATAGAGATAAAATTGTCCTTCAGAGTTATTTAGATACACTGTGCTGGAACGGACTATAGAGCAGATATGTCAGTAATGTCAGTGTATCATTCCCTCGTTAATGTACAGGTGATATTCTGCCATCATTATTACTGCTAATTGCTTAAAAGAATTCTCTAAGAAAATGTATCATTTGCAAAGAAATGTATACTCACCACTTCATGAAGAAGGGCCGCATGCAGTATGGATATAGTCGCATTGAACATGCACGCCAAAAACCAAATGATAAACAAGATGAGAAGGGCGTTATCTAACGAGGTTCGCATAATTTGGTAGAGGATAAATATACACAAACCTACATTAAAAACAACACTTGTCCCAAAATACCACTTCACCTCTTTATCGAGGAGTCCAACTAGGTTGCACAGATGTAAATGCAGACGGCGACCTTTTTCAAAGTTCTCGAAACTTTCTAGATTTCCGTTTTCACAAATTGACACAAGATACTGATTCGTAGCAAGATATGCTTCTTTCACAAACATGGAAATAATAACGATAAAAGCCATTGGCATCATCCAGACAAATGTTTCAAGGCCAAAGACAGCTAACCCTATTGTAAGCAGACTATTATTATTTTCAAATGGAGCAACGTAAATGTTGATATGGGACATTTTCACCTGAACATATGCACCAATTATGTTTACAAAAACCGAAACAAAACAAAGTACTAAGGCAACTGTTGAACGTCTTTTCATTTTTGTCTCTGGATACTGAATACAGAGTTGGTCAAGGAGCGGCACAATTTGTTGCTTCCAAGAATCAAATGCTTTTTCATTATGTCCGTATCTTCGGCTTGTGGTTTTAACAAATATCAGAAATGTAAGTAAATTGTAAAGAAGCCAGATAACATATTGTACATAGATTTTGGTGTGTCCAGATGACGAGTAGAAACAAGCTACCACTACCCTGCAGACGGACAGACAAAGTACGGCAAAGATCAATAACCTGTAACTTGTAGACAAAACAGATTTCACAGAACATCTTTTCTCTATCTTTGCACATGCTTTTTGTCTAATGTCTTTGAAATGGTAACATCCAGCTAATGCTAGTCCATACAATACCGGTTTTAGAATCTGCTTCATATGGAATCTATGGTTTCTATCAGTCGAGGCATCCATTCTTTCCTTTAGATGACCATTATCCTTTTGGATTTCTCTCACATTCATACTTTTATCCATTGCCAAATGAATATGATAGAAAAAATTTGGTCACACTTTCTTTATTTGACAACAATTTCCAATTTCTTATGCTTTTGTAATAATTAATTTCTACAAAAATAATATGTCACTGATTATCGCTCTGTTATAGTAATAAAACTAAGTAACTCTCTATTAATGAAAGAATATAATTGAATAAAATCATTGAAGGGTAAAAATATGAAAGCTTTTTAAGAATTGTATTACAGTAAATCAAATAAAAAGCTTTTAATGAGAATAAAAGGGGAAATAATGGTCTAACTAATAAGACAATGTAGAGTTTTTGCTATTATTTCATTAAATTTGTGAGTTTTTGATGGACAATAGCCATTAATGGTCAGGAAGTGTATGATTTATAGGTCTTTTAATAAGTTGGATTACTGTGTAATTTGAATGTCCATTGAATTCTTGACAATGTCAATTGGAAGAGAATTGTGGAATTGAATTATAGCAAGAATTTATTAAACAAAATGGATGTTTTTAAAAAGTGAGGAATTGTTTTTTTGACCTTGATCCAGATAGTGGCCACTGACTTCATCATTCTACCCATGTGTGTAGTGCAGACCAAGGTCAGCTGGTACGTAGGTTACACCTTATCAGTGAATGAAAGTCTGCACTGTTAGCTATTCAGTTGGTCTATATTTTGCAATATTTTTTAAATTTTTCCCTACAATTATGATCAATGGTTTTGTACTGATTGAAAGATGGATCAGTCCATATAAGATATTTAGTGGGGTAAAGGTTAAATATTGACCGTTACAGCGTTTTCTTTCTCTACTTTTGGAATGGTGCCGGTACCAGACTGATTGTGGAAAAATGCATTATTCTGACTTTAATTGGGAATTTTTTTTTATGTATTTTTTCAGCTATAAATAAGATTAGTCATCATGAATAAAGATAGCTAACAGCTTCCACTCTCCAGGTAGAACTATTGAATGGTGATTTATCTGAATATGTTGGATTTAAATGATTTCAGAGAAATCACTTGGCCTTGTGGGAATTTTGAACAGTCATTTTGGGAATTTAAAACATAATAATCTTCTGGTTTGTTTTTTTTTGTAGCATTCTCCACAAAAAAAAATAATTCTTTTGTCTGCTCATTTATTATGAACAAGAGAAAAAGCCAAAATTTGTGAACACTTTTGTTAGGATAAGTTATTTCTGTTCTAGACTATGTTTGATACGATTGTTTTGAGCGATATTATTGTTTTCTGCAGACTGAAATTGTTTCTCAATTGATTCTTTTGAATTATATTTAAATTTTTAAATGGAGGTTTTGCCACCACAGGGATTAGTCAATAAACTAATAGGATTATATAGATAATGTAGTTACAAACCTTGAAAAGTTTGACGTCATAATCAAGGAAGCAAGATATTGCCTCAGTGTGCATTATGTTTTAATACAAATACAAATTCCAATACCCATGGCCTTTACAATTAGATAGTGCAAATGCAACAAAAAGAACAGCTGGAATCCACAATTTCAGTTTTATAACTGGGTATTCGATACCAAGTTCTTCAAATTCTGGCTCAATTTGCTCCTCCCAGAATTTAAAGACATGCGCGAAGTGTCCAAATTTGGCACTCGAAGTTTTCATGCAGAACAACTCTAGGTACAGAATGTAAACACACCAAGCAAGAAATAATCCGTTTGAATCAAAATTGTCTTTTGGTAGGTAGAAAAAACTTACTATAAATTTAATAATAAACAGTGATACTGACAGAAAATAGCAAATCCTGTTTGCGACCAGCATGGATCCAGACCAGCCTGGGCATCCATGCAGTCTGATCAGGATCCATGCTGTTTGCTATCAGTTTCTCTACTTGTAATAGGGTTGGTAAGCGAACAGCATGGATCCTGATCAGACTGCGCGGATTCGCTGGCTGATCTGGATCCATGCTGGTCGCAAACGCACTATGTTGGTTTTGTTATGGCGCGGCTC